CAAAAAAAAATTAATTACATTCGTGCAATGGGCGTAATTATTATCTTAGACGTTGAAAAATATATTTTTTCTTAGTAAAGAATAAAAATGTGTGGTTACGTTATTTTGATAAGCAAGGAAATATCCCAAATTAGCATCTTTGTTTCATATATCTGGCAGAATAATATTTAATTTATTTGTAACTTACCAGGTAGGTTTACGACATTGTAAAATTAATCATAATAATAAGTTAACATAGAAACTAAACCAATACAAATTTCCCATATTTGGGGGTAATCGTTTTACACTATTATCACTCATCTCACTCACATAAATGGAAACTTGGCAATGGATACACACTTTTTGCTCTTTGCTCATGCACACACGAATCTCAAATGACTTTACTATTGTCGTTCCGCTTTATAGGGGACACGGAATCTGTATAATAGATAATCTAAGAAACAAGCAATATTTTTTTTTATCATTTAAAAGTTTCAATAGTTAATAACTAAACAATGCCTAATTGGGTGGTAATTCGTCATCTTCAGAATTTCCCCGATTTCGGTTTTGAAACTGAAAACTTGCATTTCAATTACAAGATGAAACCCTCTTCAAAGTTGGCAGATTAAGGGTTTATTCAAACAAAGTAGTCCTCTATACCGGTTACAAGATCCAAACTTGAATCCTTCAATCTGCAAGCTTCTATCGATAATTTATAATTAAATTAACAACCAGCATTGATAAGAGAACCATCATCTAAAACAGTATTTATGTAATTGTAAAATTTCAATTTTTAATAGTTAAATGAATTGGACGTAACATTTAACAAGTAAGAATTACAATTACAGAAATTTTCCAAACATTTTACAGTTAGCACAAAATTTAAATTAAATATATATCATTACTTTTTATTATCATGCGTGCGATTTATTTGAATATGCTGCATTGTTATTCTGGTATAAAATCAACAAGAGCAACGATGATATCACATAGAAGTTCCATCACCATCACCATCACCAGCCCTTTTACGTCCCCACTGCAGGGGCTCAGGCCTTCCTTATGGATGGTTAAGGAGGATGGGCCATAACCCCTCCACGCTGGCCCAATGCGGATTGGAGGGTATTAACGACTGCAAATGCAGCCGGGACCAACGGCTTAACGTGCCTTCCGAAGCACGGAGTAGCTCGAGATAATACATCGACATAGAAGTTCAATCAAACTCTACTACAAAAAGCAATAAAGGTTTTATTACATTTAAGCTCTACGCTACGCTACGGCGCTGCGCGGCATCGAGTTTGAGGCTATTTTAATGGAATCTTAGCCGTTTAGTCACTAGGAACTGTTTGACAAATTTCTATTTGATCATGAACCACACACTTGTCTATTATGCAGTACCGAAACGAAGATGAATAAATGTCAGCTCGACCGACGTCTTGAGATACTTCCAGAGACCACCATTGGTCCGAAGAAAACCAGTTAAAACTGTCTTAATCGATAAGAATTCCAATCTGTGAACTATCTGAACAGCGAGCATCAGTAGGAGCGTTGTAAAGTAATTTGAGATATTACAAAATTAATAGTTATTTATGGCATTGTTACCTAGCTGCATACTTCAGCACCGTTGCAAGAGCCATGATCATCGAATAACACCTCAAATAACAGTCAATTTTAAGTTACAATGGATGTTTATAAGAATATATTTCAAAACTAGATAACCTACTACTGTCAGAAACCTTCACTAACCATTCCGCTTTTATTTCTTGGCATTACCACCATTATAGCTTTATTCAAGTTAAATACGTATTCTATGACGTACATGGCTCTAAGGTCTTGCTTTCGAGATAGTCTTAACATTCGAGTATGGCTCAACTCTTTTAGGGTTCTGCATCTATTTCTTTACGGAAATATGCAAAAGTTAACCGCTGAACAACATCTTTATATTCGAAACTACTTAAATAATAAAAATAAAAAAATACAGAACCCACCTAAACTATAATTTACATATAAGGAATTAGTAAATATATAAGAAGTGTTACACTTATCGTTGCGCAAAACCGACTCAGACTTGCCGATTTTTTTTTATGAACGGCCGATACTTGATCGAAATGCAGCTATTCAGTAACCTCGTTAAACAATATTGTACAAAACAGCGACTGATTGAGACTACATTCAAACACTAACATATTCATGAATAATTGAAGAGGCTGTTTGGTGTGAAAACCTAGGCTGATCAATAGACTTTAATGAATAAGCATAAAAAAATATTCACAGTAATGTTCAGATGAAATATAAAACCTTCGTAACATGTGTGTTTGTCTCCGCTTCTAAAAACCTGAGCCTACCAATGGCCGGGAATTTTATCTTATTAAGATTCCCACTCCAGTTTTTCTCCCGTTTACAAACAAAGCAATAGCAACTCAAAAAAACATATGTAATTGTCATCAACCACATGATTATTGCCTATACATTTATTTATTTATATATTAAGTACATTCAATAAACAGTATTCCAGTTTTGCCAACGAAAATTATATTATAACGACATTTTTAACCGACTCTAAAATCCAAAAAGAGGATATTATATGTTCACTGATATTCCCGCCAATTGTTGTACGATTTTCAAAATTCTTTTTTTACTCAGCTCAACGGACCGGGGTGGTTCCATCTTTTGATAACAAAGAAAATATGCTTTTCAACAGATACCACCTAAATATTTAGATATGGTTATTTCAACTAAAAAACAACAGATTGCTTATTTTAATGCCAGCAGCGAATCGCTATTATAAAATTAAACAACTAGTTAAACCAACTAATGCGCAGAACGCGTTGTGGCTTTTCTTCATTGCCACAACGCGTTATAAACGAATAGCATGACAGCTACAACACGGATTTCGCTATGTGGTTATTCTGTGAATGCCACAACGCGCCGTGAGCGTTTCCATAAGAGTCATAACCCAAATTTCGCTATGTGGATATTTTACTGTGTCTACAACGCGTTGTGAGCTATTATTTCGCTAAATGAGCTACTTCGATCTTTGAGCGTAACAAATACAAGTAACTACGTAGAATTTGTTAAAGCAGTCGCCAGGATTGCGAAAGGTTGTGGTCTAGTTCCACTTCCGGGTATTAGAGGCTGGTGGATTTTTATAAACTACCAAAAAATACCCGAAATTTTGTTTATTTTAGTCGATTTTGCCATTTCCTGTCGTAACTGCAGATTTTAATATAATTTATAATATTTCATATTGGTTTCATCAAAACACCTTAAATCACAAAAAACTTTGAAAAATTCGGATTATCCGAATTTACCTATCCTACGTGAAGATTCGTGGAAATAAATAATTTAAAGAAAAACAAAAAACCCGACTGCGTAAAAACAAATTTTAAAAAATACATGAAAGAATTAACTTAAATAAAAACTAAAAAGAAAGAAACAAGCTCAGTAGTATAGAATTCTGTTAAGTAATACATAACAGAACGACTCATAGTCGGGGCCCATTCAAATCTTCCCAAGGGGCCCCGACTATGACTGTATTATTAAGCTGTAATTTTAGATTTCATAACTGTAGTTTTGGCTATGACAGACGGACGCTGGACAGAGATACACGAGAGATCCTATTTTTGTACGAAACCCTATAAAGAACTCTAGAAATATCTTATGACTAAAACCCTATAAAGTACTTTAGAAATATTTTATAGCTAAAACCCTATAAAGTACATTCGAAATAGCTTATGGCTACGATACGATGTAGAAAAATCTATTTTTTGATAGTGACAATGTTTATATGTTAGATAACATGTAGATTAATAAAATACACATGGGTATTTTAACTAAACCAAGTTTTCTTTGAAATACCTATTTTTATCAATTATCATCGCCCTTTTTATATGTAATCAAAAGAGATATTAAAAAAACAAACATGAAAGAAACTGAATTAAATTTTGTCTAATGTAACTGTACAATTTGCACAGAAAGTGTGCTGTTTGCAACAAATGAACGGGCTTTGTTTACAAAACGTCTGTTTCTACTAAAGTTTAATACGCAGAATCCATTGTAGCTAGTAAACATCCACAATTCTTGAACCCAATGCGGCGATTCGAATAAGTTTTGATCGATTACTAATCACAGGGCTTAGTGACGTAAATCGAAGTCGGCTATCATATTCATGGAAAGCAGAAACTATCTTCTTTTTTTTTGATATTTTTGCGTATTTCAATCCTAATGTTGATTTTACGTTAAATGACAAGAAATATTGTAGTTTTATTAAAAATTATTAATGATATCTAACCTTTTTGTAGCAATGAATAATTATTAAAGATGACAGAGACGCTTAGTTGTACCTATATTGTATATATTATACCTATATTGTACCTATGTTGTTGTTACTGACAAGAAAAAGCTTGGCCGTCTAAAGTAATAATAAACAAATTCTCACGCGCGAGTTTATTTGTTAGAATAAATATTTTTATAAAAAAAAAATATGCAAACAAATACGAATACACATAACACTAATTAACACTTAAAGGTAAAACCTGTTAGATATAGATAGTTACCGAAACTCAAACTGGTACTGTTTCAATAGAAAAAAAATTTAAACTATCTTTGTGAAGAAAATCACAGGTTAAATTATTTTAAACCAAGAGCGCGGTGAACATGTTTAGATAGTAAAATAGCATTAATCCGACCATATGGCGAGGATTTAACAAAAAAAGTCAGGTAAAGAAATAAGATAACACTAATGTGTTGTTCCCTGGCGATCCGATGGGGTCGGGCTGTGTGATGGGTTCAAACATTAAAAAAACGGTAACACGTGTGCCAAGGGCAAAAGAGAGATTTACTTTTTTTGTCGTTGCACAGGCTGTACTAAAAACCATATAGTGTAATGGGGTTTTTTGAATCCCTCTAAGTATTGGTGTCGTAAAAACTATTTTGTAACTCGTCGAAAATAGGTGAATATTGAACACAAAGATGAATTGCCGAATCGTATGTATGTACGCCTATAACTTTAAGACGACAGCACCAAATAAAATAACTCTTTGTTTTGTTGTGTTTGTTATTATCAGGAGAAAGTTTCATCGTATATATTTAAAAAAAATGTATGGAATAATAATAACTCACCGATCAGCATCAGATAGAGATACAATCTCCATTTGAGGTGGCGGCGGCGGGGGCGGGGGTGGAGGAGGCGGCGGCAATGCTGCTACGACCGGCACTGCCGGTAAGGCATCCGGCACGTCTAGCACAGGAGTCTCCGACAACTTTACGTCTGGCAACTCTTTGAAATCCGGCAGCTCCTCTTCTGGCAGAGCCACTACAGGTGCCACCGGCGACGTAACGACGGAGGGCGCGATGGAACCCTCCGTTGTAATCGAAAACTGCACATCGCCAGCTATGCCCGGCAAATGCGGCAGATCCAAAGGCATCTCCAACTCCGGAACCTAGTTAAATAAATATTCTCATTATGCTACTGTAAGCGAAAGCGTAAAAGATTTAAATATTACGTAACTCGAATACGATCTATCAAAACTTACCATTCCCATGCCAGGAGTATACATGTATTCATCTAGTTCTCTCTTCAGCACATCTCTTTTAATTATTGAGGAAGGTGCATCTTCCAGTAAACTCCTGTTTTCAACATCTGGTGCTTTTGGAATGTATGTTGGTAATTTGTCTGTTGTTCCTAAGTAGGGGCTCTCACTGGTGTTGAAAACTAGAAGTTCACCAACAGTTCCTATATTTTCCACCAAAGCATTCAAATCGAAATCTGGTTTGACGACGGTACTCATAGGTGGTGCAACTTTTACATGGAAGAAGTGTAGTTTCTCCTAAAAAAAGTTAAAAACATTCAATAAAACCGTCGTACAGAACTAATCATTAGATGAAATTGGAAAACTTAAATAAACATTTACCTGAATTCCTTTCTCATTAGATTGCCCCTGAGTTTTCCCACTCAGAGTAACCTGTTGTGGTTTGTGGTGATAACCATTCAAGTCGAAGATAGACTGATAATGCTCATGAGAAATTATAGTAGGATATTTGGCGCTAGAAAACACTTTAATAGCTTTTCGCATTCCAGTCAAGTTTTTTATTTTCTCGTTAGCAATATCTATTCTATCTTTAAGTTTATTTGTTTTGTCTACATTCTGTTTGATCCTATTTGTCATTCGAGAGAATATGTCGTCGATTACGCCATTCAAATTGTCGAGTGTATCGGCAATCTGAAGTATAGTCTCTTCAGTACACAGGTCTGTAGGTACTAATTTTATTTTGTAAATACCCTCCATGATTTTAAGATCACTATCTGTAAAGAAATAGCCCTAATTAGTAACATCTACTTGGAATTTACGTATTTATGATGTGTAATGAACCACATTTTTATACCATATCTTGTCAAAATCCTGGGTTCAATACCTAGGTAAATATAAAGTGACAAATTCATTGATTTTGATTTCAGAAATACAAGTATTTCAGCCCATAATGTATAGGTACTATAAAGAATAAAGATTTGTTTGTTTGTTTGCATCGAATACTATCCTAACTGCTGGATCGATTTTAAAAATTCTTTCTTTGGGTTTGGGTTGGCTATAAATTACGCGTGCGAAGAGTCGGGACAACCGCTAGTTACATATAATTATGTTATTAATTCAATTCAATAAAGATTTATAGTATTGTCTATAAAAAGTAAGTCCCAATATAATGGCACCTACTTTTTTTACTCATACTAAAAATGGTAGGTGCCATAAGAATTATCACAGGATTAGAAGAAACACGATAGTTAAGATTTTTAAATATAAGAGTTCATTCTTACCTACAAGATTCCAGTAAATCACCTTAAATAAATTAATAAGGCACAAGAACTATCACTATATTAACACATTCACATTCTTGTCCAATTTTATATAGTATTTGTAAAGCTTCTAAAGTTCAACTAAAATTTTACTAATCAGTCCACGCATAAATTTTTTATCAGTACCAATTCACTTCTGTACACATCTCAATTTTTAGGTGAATAAAATGAATGTAGATTATCCTTTGCTGGATCTGTACTCCATGAAAACCGGCAGTACGCATCAGGTGACATTGTAGGGTCTAAAATGGCTGACTCTTCAACCGGTTGACCCGAAGATATTAAATTTAAGTGCTTATTTATGATGGGGTCATTAGGACTAACATAACCGCCATTTGTTTGCGGTTTCAATGGCACTGTATTACGAACAGTAGGCTTAAGACTATGTATGGCATCCAATGATTGCAATTGAATATAACTACTATCTGGACCATGTTTTGCAGGCTGTGGCAAGCTAGGCATAGCAGGCAAGCTATCGGGGCCAACCTTTGTGGGTGATAAACCCAAGTTTGGTAAATTAATTAATGACTTAATTTGAGCGTCATCATGACGCATGTATCCTGATGAGGTAGGTGGTTGGCTGGCTATATTAGGTGGTTTGATTCCAGTTGTGAATATTGGTGGGGATAGGCTGGCCATAACATAACTGCTGCCAGCTGGTTGTACAGGTTGCTTTGAAGGTGGATTTTTCATCACACTAGGAACTGCCTCCACATATCCAGAAGATGGATTTACAATGGGTGCTTGATTTTTTCCAAAATCTTCATTGAAATATGGAGAATTCTCATGAAAACTGTCAATATCAGAATTATCCAATGAATACCCATCTTGATGTGGCAAGTGATCATCAACTTTAACTGCATCTACTAAATTGAGAGATGAATTAGTGCTCTCATCAGAAGTGGAAGCCTGTCTATGTACAGGACCACGAGATGTATCAGACAACACTGTACTGTCTGTGTGGTCACTTGAACCGCAATTACTGTTATCTTTCTGTTTGACATCAGGGGAAGGTACTACTACTTTTGAATTAGGCAGCAGAAGTATTTCATCTGAAGATGGTTTTTCATCCTTGTTAGCTGGATTCCAGCCTCCGTATGAATATTTAGTGTCTTTTTCAGGAATACTCAAACCATCAGGTAACACTGGTTTGATATCACCCATTTTTCTGTACTTTTTATACAACTTAATACTTCCATAGCCCATGGCAATCAATGCAAATACTGTCATAAAGATCAATGTCATCGTAAGGCCATCTTTGCTTCTACAAGTAACAGTACTAGGTTCACTCCATTCTCCTGCATGCTCATTTTCCATATTTTTTCTATCAGGAAGAGTAACATATTTTGTATCAGCTATAACACCACTGTAGTCATCATAATCAAAATTTACAGCTCTAACTTGATAAGTTTCTTGTTCTATAACTCCTTGACAAAGAATTAATTGGTAAGATAGATTTGTGGTGTTCACAATTTCAGCATCAGTGTCATCTTTGATTTTTCTTATTTGGTATAGATCAATAGTACCACCAGGTATTTCTGGTGGATCCCATTTGAGTAGATCAGGGTTATTTTTCACTATAGGTGCTTTCAGTCTGCTTGGAGGACCAATTTTTGTCCGAACAAATATAGGCTCTTTAGGACTTGATTTAGAACAGCTATGTATTCCAGTATTACACGCTGTTATAGTTAATGAATAATTTTGAAAACTAACAAGATTTTTCAGTGTCACATTTCTCCTCATAATATCTTTACTATCTTCATCCACTTTATCAATATAAATTTCTTTTCCATAGTTAGAAATTACATAGTGTCCTATAATGCCATTTCTAGGATATGGTGGGTCCCATGACAGTACTAAAGAATTACTTTGAACATTTGTAACTAGCACATTTCTTGGATTAGTAGGAGTGTCTTCTGTTGTAGTGATAGCTCTCGAAGCATTAACAGTTTTCAAACCATATGTAGTGTTTAGATCCAAAGTAAACAAATATGTTTTATGAGGCAATAAATCTGTTATATTTACACTCATCTGCTCTGGATTTGGTATATATTTTGATTTTTTCTCATAAGTTGGATCACAAAAATTACTAGTGTTCACGACAATACAATATTTTAGAAGATAACCAGTGATTATTCTTTCTTGCAGTGTACATGTCATAGTCCATGTGACTCTTACAAAAGATTTTCCTGGTGCATCATTTTTCACTGTTACTGGGAAACCGTACATGGGAATTGAATCTTTTGATATGGCGCAAGTAGCCCATATAATACCACTCGTTCTTGTACCATTATTTGCTGAAATAGCAAACTGATATCTATGATCTTTAGGTAGAGTTATTTCATAGCTATTCTTGGTGGCATCCAGAATAGTGAAATTCATACGGCCAGCACAAATAAGTGTGACATTGTATTGACACCAGAATAATGTATAATTGTCAATTTTCTCTTTTCCAACCCAGGATAACTTATATGTTCCACCTTCATATGCCAATTGAGTAAAAGTTGTTACCCTTAAGCTACTATCAGTTTTGGATGGGATATATAGTTGGCTGCTGTTTTCTGAAATGCCCATGTCATTTTTAGACCACACAGTTACCTGCATTGGCTCCCATGGTGCAGTAAGCTCAACATAACTCAAGCTTTTGTTTTTGTCTGGGTATAAAATCTTATTTTCATTGCCTTGCGATATAAGAACCTTGTATGTAAAATTTTGACCAGCTTCCTCATATTCCTCCAGCTGTTTCCAATACACCCAAATCATTTTTTGCTCATGGAATTCAGCTTCACTAAAAGCACCAGCTGTTAGTTCTGGAGGCCTTCTCGGTATCTCACTAGCAGTGTGAAACACTTTATAGGTAAAATCCGACCAAAACTCTTCTTTCACAGCTTTCTTTGACTTTATGTATATCCGCACTTCATACTGCATGAAAGCATAAGGAAGATCCCTCAATAGAAATTTATAGGTTTTATTGTTAGATGGTAATCTAGAAGTATCAACATTATGGAAATAGGTTTTGTTGTCAATTTTAGCAATTTGATACTCTATTTTATGGTCAACTCCACAAGTAAGAAGATTTGCCACGGAATTGGAAATGTTCCATTTCAATACAATACTGTGGGGTTTCTCTGATAACAATATTATATCAGTAGGTGGGTCAGGTTTCACTATGGAAAAATGGTCAATAGTAAAGTTCTGGCTATTCTCTCCGATTTTATTAGAAGCTTTTAAAATAAAAAAATATTCATCCTCTTGCTGTCTGTATCTTGGCTCACTGCTGGTATTCCATGTGCAATAGAATAAGTTACTGCCAATCTTGTCAGGTTTGCAAGGTGGCACAGCATTTCCATTTACTAAAAATGTTAAGGAATAACTAATTGTAGCACCACTATTTGGAGCAGAACTCCAAGAGCAGTTTAACACTTCCAGATTTTTTGAAATACATTTGAAATCTGTGACATTCATTGGTGGAGAATCTACAACCACTCTGGTAGGACATTTCTTTCCAGTCCTCTTATTCATACAATAGTAAGTATGCACTTGTTTTTCTGGTTTCGATATATACAGTTGTATAGTAGTATCATTGACAATCTTAGAGGGCACATGTTTTCCCCCAAACGTAAATTCAAGATCTTGGGATGTGTAGTTTGTGAACGCATTGTTCTCCACTATACAGAAGATTTCCATGGGATCACCATAACGCACAAATACTACCTCCGGTCGAAGACTAACCGATAGATCGACTCCGAGACACAACGAAAATATACACGGCAAACTAATAACATACTTTATCAGAGTACACCAAATCCAAAAACCGTACTGCGGTCCCCTTTTCAAACCGCTACACTTCGACCTTTTAGAATCACATTGGTTTGCCATTACTGCAAAATATCCGAATATCACTCCATTAGTAATAATATAACTTGCTGTCCTAACCACATTGAGCCAGGAATTCACACATTCCTCTTTTTTTTTATGATGTGAGGTAAACTGCAATGGCGCACTGTAGTCCGCACCCGAGACATTCACAGACTGACTAGGATCACATAATAACGCAAAATCGCGAAGTAATTTTATTTTATTTGCTACCTATTAATAAACTTTAACACACAGCGCACAAAGTGGACTACCGTAAAATACTATTGTGAAAATCCATTACGCATTACGTACTTACATAAAATAGAAAAAACTCAGAATCTTATTCTCGTAATCGCCAACTTCACAACTGTACGATTGTATAGTAGTGATGTGTGTGATATGATTTGAATTTAGCTATAATATGAATATAGAAGAATTTATCGTATAAATAACTGGTTCAAAATGATGATGAGCTATCGTAACTGTTACAATTAAATTTGCTCTTTATTTATATATTTAAAATATCTTTGTCTAACAAAAATAACTCTGTTTAAATGTGTGTACATTTATATAGCAATTAAAATGAATTTATTATATTATTTCTTATATGCATAATGATTTGGAAAAGACTTATTAAAAATACAAACAATTAATTCCAA